TTCTGTCATCATCCCTATTTATATCTTCGTCTGATCTTTAAAACATTAATGGTACAGACATCTGCCGTCAGCATTGACAGCATTGCATTCCGAGGAATCATCGGTACATCTGCAACTGAGGAGGCCATCGAGTTTTCATGTAGCGAGAGCAGCCCATGTAAAAAGCTATATTTAGAAGATATTCAACTCATATCTCTGTCTGGGATTGTAAAGTCATTTTGCTGGGAAGCGTACGGCACAAGCTCGGGTCTCATAGTTCCGCCTTCTTGCATTTCATCCGAAGAAAAATTATCATTCGACAAAAGTAAGGGCAGTCCAAACTCGACAAGCTTGTGGAATGATATATGACAGAAAACTACCCTTGAGGTTCGACCTAACTGCGAACACACAATTATCTTTGGGAACCACATACTATTATGTGAGCCTGCAATATTAAGATTGTAAAGTAAATTAAATATATAAATAATATAGATCACGGTACATTACTTTACTAAAATTATAATACACATTTTTTTTTTTTTTTTTGACATAAGATATTCATAAAGTGATATATACTACAAGAAAATAATGAAATTCCAATGGAAATCTATCCAAAAGAATTATTCCAACGGCAATTACAACGGATAATTCAATACTATTATTTCCGTTGGAATTTTTTAATGGATTCCAACGGAAACCAACAAAAATATTCCGTTGGAATGAGTTTTCTATTGGAATTTTCATTGGATTTTGACGATTCGAACGATGGATTTTCCAACGGGAGTGGAAATAAAAAAAATCCAACGGAATTTGCATATTCCAACGGAAATTCCTACGGCAATAAGCCGTTGAAAATATAGCTGTTGGAATCATCAAATTCCATCTAAAATTCAAATAAAAAACACATTCCAACGGAATATTTCCACTGGAATTTCCGTTGGAACCGTTCCAATGGAAGCTATACTATTGAAATATCTGTTGGAATTTTCATCGGAATATATTACCATAGGATTTTCTGTTGGAATATAACAATTTTTTTGTGATACTATAATATTCATAATATTATTGAACATCTTTTCGTAGAAGTATTCTTGATTTTGAATATTTGGACTCTATTATTCTTAATGTACAACAAATGATTTGGTCCAACCAAATTGACTAATAATGTGACCGGGATACAACCAAGTTGTGTTATATGTTTGGGTTATTTTACTTGTGACTTGAAAGTTGAGAGTGACGGAGGAGGCCTAAATAGTAATCCAATTCAGTGAATCTAAGTGATTTTTTTCCCTTGATATGTTTTGGACTCAGATACGTAAATGCGAAAAGTGTAAATTAAAATACCTATGTGAAATGGTGAACAATAATTCCAATCCCAGCAACTCAATAATAACAAAAGAAATCTCTTGCAATAAAACAAGAATAATCATTTTATGATGTGGAAGATCAGATTAAACTGTGACCAGAGAGCATACTAAGAATATCCCAAATAAATAAAATATGCAAGAACTAAGACACCAAGATTTTACGTGGAAAAACCTCCAATATAGAGAAAAAAATCACGGGACAACCTCCGAACAATTTCACTATATTTTCAAGATAATTACACTATCCTTTCACACTCCTCTACACTAGAAATCATAGTTTTTAAACCCGGCCCGGTAATCGACCCGGGCAAGTCTTCGGGTCACCGGGTCACCGGTTCAACCGCCGGGTCACCGGGTCAATTGCTGAACCGGATAATTAATTTTAAAATTTATAAAATTATATATAGAGTATTTTGTGATATATAAATATACATAAAAATAACAAATTTAAATATTTTGTATGTAAAAATTGTAGATTAAAGTGATAATAATATGTATGTATTTATATTATAAATATATATACATAATTTTATTTTTTAAAAAGAAAAAGAAAATTAAAAAACAAAAAAAATAAAAAAATACATATAGACCGGGTCAACCGGGTTGACCCAGCCGGGTCAATGCCCCGGGTCGGCTGGGTCAAGGCCGGGTCAACCGGGTTTTGACCGGGTTTGACTGGGTCCGTTGTTTCCCGGTCCAATTAACCCACCCGGACCGGTTCCGGCTCCGGGTCGACCGGGTCCCGGGTCGACCCGCCGGTCCGGTCCGGGTCACAAAACACTGCTAGAAATGTAAAATATAGTGACCCAGTGAGACACTAAGAGATGATACCTAACCCGGTGTATTTTTCCCACACTCACAGAATTTACTCAAACACTTTATTTTTAACTCACTAAAAAATCTAACACTCACAGAAACTAATGTTGTTTCTGCTCCTTTTTCTTTCTCGCTTGGTGTGTTTAATCAACTGAAAGTTTGGTGCTATTTATAGGGATATCCCCCTATATATAATTCCCGAATACGTTGAGCCTACGTGGCTGCTTCTGGTGCTTCGGAATCCTACTTGTCGAAAATCATGCTTCGTAATTAGGTTTGGACAAAATAATATTAATATTATAATAATTAAGAATAATCTAGGTTCAGACATTCCATAAATATTATTTAGCTAACTTAGGTATTTTAATATCACTTGTACTAATATAACTCTTTAATTCTTTGTAATTTTACATAGTGAGACACTAAGTGACTAATACATCTCTGACTTTTGATTTGTTTCCTTCAATTAGCTATTGAATTTTAAATGTATTTTAAAAGTTGATAATTTTTGTATTTCTTATCGGTTTACATATATAATATATCAAATTAATCATCTTTTGATGATCTTCGATTTGACATCCGTATTGTATGTATGAAATAGATATTTAATTTTTATTTTTATAATAATAAAAAATAATAATATTTATTAAAATTCATTAGAAAAATAAAATTATTTCTCAATTGATATATTTATGTTTAATGTAGTTATATGTTGTAAGTTAAAAAACTATTATAATATAATACATGTAAGTCGAACAAATAAAAAGTGTCATACTAAATATATAATAATATATATTTTTATGAAAGGTATTTAAATTTTCAACTATTTTTTCTCAATAATTTTAGATTTTCAGAAAAAAAAATTAGCAAGTATCCGTGTAATACACGGGCGTTGTACTAGTTAAGCTCCATTATTTCAACTAATGACAGCCCATATTGTCAGAAATGACAACTCATAGCAATAAAAAATTCCTCTTCCACTTTGACAACTCATAGCAATAAAAAATGACAACCTCTATTTTGTTGTTTTCATTATTGGTTGGACCCATCAATTATCTCCCTCCAACCAAAAGGAAATATACTGCAGTTCTTTACTTGCATTCCATGTTGATCAACTCGACACAAAGCTGAAGCTTTCCCCCTATTACAACTTTTGTCATCATGTCAGCAGGGTTTCCGTCAGTGTGAATCTTTTCCAACTTGAATTCTTGTTCTTCGTGCGAGAGTGGTACATCACATTCTTACTTAAATCAAATGCGCTCTGACTATCGCAATGGATATCGTACCTTTCCTGCTTCAAATAACAAAAGGATAATGATTTTATCACCTGGAAATTTCTTAACGAACACACAATAATCTGCATCAGTCTTGGTATATCCATGGCTCGCCATGAACGAGTCAAATTTCTTATACCACTGTCTTGGAGCTTGTTGCAGTCCATACAAGTTCTTCTTCAATCTGCAAACCATATGCTCCTTTCCAGTCTTCTCAAATCCTTTTGGTTGCTCCATGTAGATTTCTCCATCTAGGTCTCCATGAAGAAATGCAGTCTTCACGTCTAGTTGTTCAAGCTCGAGATCCATGCTAGCCACCAATCTGAGTACTACTCGAATAGAGCTTATCTTTACAACTGGTGAGAAGATCTCATCGAAATCTATTCGTCGCTTTTGGCCAAATCCTTTCACAACTAAACGAGCCTTGTACTTCAATAGTTTGTCACCATCTTTCTTAAGCTTGAACACCCATTTATTCTTCTAGGCTTTTCTACCTTCCGCAAGCTTCACAAGCTCATAAGTTTTGTTTTTCACCAGTGAATCTATTTCTTCTTGCATGGCTTTCATCCACTGAGATTTATCCTTATGAGTCTGTATTTCTTCAAAGCTTTCTGGCTCTCCTTATTCAGTGATGGTAATATACGTGGAACTAAGGTATCTCGTAGATGGTTAGATCGCTCGATTTGATCTCCCGAGTTGAGGCGGAGCTTCGAGGTCTTCTTGCTCGTCACCTTCACCATAATCATCTTCTATTGCTGGCTCATTATCAACCCTGAGTTCTCCGTCACATTCTCTCCCTGTTGTGGCATCTCCAGGAGGTTTGACAGGTGAAAGATCCACCTTTCCACTTAGTTCTCTTGTTTCTGGTGAAGCAGAATCAGACATAGTTTCTTGCTCATGGAACACTACATCTCTTCTTCTGATTACTTTTCGATTTTCTGGACCCATAACCTGTAGCCAAAATCCTCATCTCCATATCCCAGAAATATACAAGGAATGGCTTTATCATCAAGTTTTCTTCTCTGTTCCTTACTTACGTGAGCAAAAGCTTTGCATCCAAACATCTTTAAATGAGAGTATTTAACATCATGTCTGGGCCATACTCTCTCAGGGATATCAAGCCCAAAGGAACAGATGGAGATCGGTGGATCAGGTAGCACGCAGTTAGAACAGCTTCACCCCAGAATGGCTTAGGTAGCTTAGCAATTCTTAACATACACATCACTTTCTCCACAATGGTTCTATTGATTCTTTCAGCCACACCATTATGTTGTGGGGTTCCAAGTACAATCTTCTCATGCCTGATTTCATGATCAACACAATAATTCTTGAATTCATGGGACGTATACTCCCCTCCATTATCTAAGCGAAGACACTTCAAAGGTTTACCGGCCTGTCTCTCCACCATAGCATGAAACCTTTTGAAGTACTGGAAAACTTCGTTCTTTGTTCTCAAGAAGTACACCCACAATTTTCGTGAAGCATCTTCAATAAAAGTCACGGAATATGTGCTACCACCGAGACTCTCCACTTCCATGGGTCCATATACATCAGAATACACCATCTCCAACACATTCTTTTTCAGCTTCGAGATCTTACTGAAAGACACTCTATGATGCTTCCCAAAGAGACAATAATCACAAGGATTTAGTTTTGAATCTTTGGCAAATGGAATGATGGACTTTCTTGCCAAAATTTGTAATCCTTTTTCACCAATATGAGCCAGTATTTTGTGCAACAAATTTGGCGAAGCATCATCCTCGACTGCATTCAATCCACCTTTGTTCAGCTTCACTTGAGTTCACTGTGCCTCTAGCAGCTAACAATGATCCTTTGGTAAGCCTCCACATACCGCTACCAAAATTGTTACTATAGCCTGCTAGATCCAGTGCATGCACAGAGATCAAATTCA